CCCAAGGACGTTCCCATCATGTATAAATAAGCTCTATTTGTATGCTTGTCATCCTCATATTTTCGAGGTGCTTGTAGAATACACTTTCTACGCCATATCAAGACTCTTTGATCTCGTTAGCAGCGCCGGGGACAATCAGATCAGAATAGCCCATCGTGTCACTGGATCGTTTTTCTTCGGTTTTTGTCTACCGAGTAAGGTGAATTCGTGATATTTTCAAGCATATTGACTGACGAGCATATCATAGACCACCTTTAAAAACCTGGAAGCATTCACTGGACGACTGTTTTGTCCTGGTATGGGACTCATCAGTGGTAGTGAGCATGCAAGACTCCTGTCACTCGCAGGACTCGAACTCAAGACCTTTGGTTTTGTACACAAACGTCATGCCTCTGGTCCATTGAGCCGGTGGCATCCAATGGTGTTTATGTCTAACTCTGATCAATCTATGAATTTTGCGCGACATCACCCATCTGTCTTCGGTAGTTACTGCCCACACCCGATAGAGTTGAACTTCACTGGTCACATTTTCCCACTAGAAGAACTCCTAGCGTTATCACAAATCGTAGATGCGCACTGCTATGGATGAGTTCTACAACAGGATGAAAAATCCGTCTCTCAGTGCTTCCAGGTTTCTAACGGTGATAGTCTAACAATGATTGTGATTCATGATTTCAGTTATAAACACCAATATCCATAACTCTTTATGATGAAAAATATTCCCCATTTCATTCAAGATCAACTTGCGGAATAGACAACACACATTGTTATTGAAGAGTTTTAAATTTTAGCTCAATATTTCGGTTTTATTCTTTCAAACAACATCGATTTTCAAACACTGACTATTCCTTACACACTACAAAACACTCAAAAATTCATTTCTAAAAGATTTTTTTTAATGAAAACTGATATATTTAGTAAGTAATTTCGCGGTACTGTCACAAAAATCAATAACGCACATGAATACATCACACATATATGCGCACCTACATCAATCAATGAGTACATACAACTCAAAAAAAAATTGTTACAGCCAAACATGACAAATGTTTTACCTTACACAACGAATATTTGTTTTTATCATCAATAAATCGATATTTTTTCAACGGAGTTTAGTAAAAATCAATAATCAAATTACCAACCTTCATTAAAACCATCTATCTATCTATACAATTTCATATAGTGTACACACAAGCACGTAGTACATGAAACTAACTACAGCACAACATATCAATAAGGAAAAAAGCCAACAAATTCGGTGTTGTTAGTGTGAACGTACAATAAAATGATGCGATAATAAAGATGATATGTATTACATTATTGATCGATCGATCGATGCCTGTTTGCTTTCCCTATAAACCAAAGTAAAACACAATATTGTTTGTTCAATGTTCAATGTGTCAACCTCATATTTTCTGCGTGCTTGTAGAATACACTTTCTACGCCACATCAAGACTTCTTGATTTAGTTAGCCAGGCCAGGGACAATCGAATCGGGATAGTCTATCGTGTCACTGCATCATTTGTCTTCCTTCCATTTACCGACTAAGGCGAACTCCTAATAGCATTCAAGCATATCAACTTCTTGTGAAGAATATTATTTTCAAAGTCATGTTTTCTTTTTCACATGAACAGACTCAATGTGAAGCAGTTATTGTCTCTCTTAGACTAAATAATCAGAAGTAAATTGCTAGAACTGTTGTAGAATATTTTCGAGATATTTTCTTCACTTTGTACTCAAAATCCCTCTCATAATCGTTGCAACAATAATCCTTAATGGTGTACAGTTTTCAAAAGATAACAGAAAGTGCTTGACACGAATTATTTGAGAATAATACGAACCACACAATCAGCAACCAAAGAACGAGTGTACTGTGCAGTAGTTCGCTCTGTCCTACTTTATCGCTGTGAAACATTGCCAGTGAGAGTAGAAGATATTCGTCGGTTACTGGTTTTCGATCATAGGTGTCTTCGAAGCATTGCTCGTATATCGTGGGACAACTAAGTAAGCAACGCTGTTATTAGGAAACGGATGCTAGGTAAGGATGGCAAATCAATAGATGAAGTAGTGAAACTTCATCAGTTGAGGTGGTTGGGACATGTGTTACGAATGGCTAACCACTGACTGCCTCGACAAGCTGTTTAGTGATGTAGTGTAGGTTGGGAGAAAGTTAGTGGCGGTCAGACCAAAACATGGCAAAAATCCATGAAGTCACTGACAAGTGAACTGAGTCATGTTGGTAGATGTAGGCTACCTGGTTGGGGTCCACTAGATTTTAGATTTGGGTTCACTAGATTCTACTTCTTGAATAATATCTTCTAATCATAAGCTGTCCAACTAGAACTGTCGTAGAATATTTTCGAGATATTTTCTTTAACTTAGTATGTAAAATCCATCTCATAAACGTTGCAACAATAATCCTTAATGGTGTACAGTTTTCAAAAGATAACAAAAAGTCCTTGACACGAATTATTTCAGAATAATACGAACCACACAAGCAGTAACCATAAAATATCAGCGATGAGTTGAATAGTTAATTAATTTATCAGGTTAACAAAATTAAATAACATTGAAATCATGAATCGATCAATGTTAGACTACTATTGATAAATTTGAAACACAGAAAGGTCACTTCATTCTAGTATGGAGATCCTCAGCATTGTGCATCCTCAAACCCACAGGTGGCGATCGAACCCAAGACTCTGACGATCTGATGTGTGAACGCTTAACCTCTCAATAACACTGAACCAGCATCCAATATTACAATTCTGTACTGACAATATGTTGTTCTTCAGAAGGGAACATTAAAAGCTCCTTCAACTATAAAACATCTAACTCAGAGAATGTATTGGCGACGTTAGATCCCCAGAACTCACTTGATAAAGATCTTAATTTTGGGCTTTATTCATGAACTGACCAGTTAACCGTGAGAACACATTTCCCACCAGGAAAATCCTTGGCTGTGATTGGTTGATGTGTTATTTTAATATTCTATTTTTGTGACTCTCCCAAGAATGTTTCTATGAAATATAAATAAACGAGATATGTATGCTTGAGAACATTATATTTGCTAGGTGTTTGTGGAATACCCTTTCTACGCCATTTCATTCAAGATCAACTTGCGGAATAGACAATACACATTATTATTGAAGAGTTTTAAATTTTAGCTCAATATTTCGGTTTTATTCTTTCAAACAACATCGATTTTCAAACACTGACTATTCCTTCCACACTACAAAACACTCAAAAATTCATTTCTAAAAGATTTTTTTTAATGAAAACTGATATATTTAGTAAGTAATTTCGCGGTACTGTCACAAAAATCAATAACGCACATGAATACATCACACATATATGCGCACCTACATCAATGAATGAGTACATACAACTCAAAAAAAAAATTGTTACAGCCAAACATGACAAATGTTTTACCTTACACAACGAATATTTGTTTTTATCATCAATAAATCGATATTTTTTCAACGGAGTTTAGTAAAAATCAATAATCAAATTACCAACCTTCATTAAAACCATCTATCTATCTATACAATTTCATATAGTGTACACACAAGCACGTAGTACATGAAACTAACTACAGCACAACATATCAATAAGGAAAAAAGCCAACAAATTCGGTGTTGTTAGTGTGAACGTACAATAAAATGATGCGATAATGAAGATGATATGTATTACATTATTGATCGATCGATCGATGCCTGTTTGCTTTCCCTATAAACCAAAGTAAAACACAATATTGTTTGTTCAATGTTCAATGTGTCAACCTCATATTTTCTGCGTGCTTGTAGAATACACTTTCTACGCCACATCAAGACTTCTTGATTTAGTTAGCCAGGCCAGGGACAATCGAATCGGGATAGTCTATCGTGTCACTGCATCATTTGTCTTCCTTCCATTTACCGACTAAGGCGAACTCCTAATAGCATTCAAGCATATCAACTTCTTGTGAAGAATATTATTTTCAAAGTCATGTTTTCTTTTTCACATGAACAGACTCAATGTGAAGCAGTTATTGTCTCTCTTAGACTAAATAATCAGAAGTAAACTGTTAGAACTGTCGTAGAATATTTTCGAGATATTTTCTTCAATTTAGCATTTAAAAATCCCTCTCATAACCGTTGCAACAATAATCCCCAATGGTGCACAGTTTTCAAAAGTTAACAGAAAGTGCTTGACCCGATCCATTTCAGAATAATACGAACCACACAAGCAGTAACCATAAAATATCAGCGATGAGTTGAATAGTTAATTAATTTATCAGGTTAACAAAATTAAATAACATTGAAATCATGAATCGATCAATGTTAGACTACTATTGATAAATTTGAAACACAGAAAGGTCACTTCATTCTAGTATGGAGATCCTCAGCATTGTGCATCCTCAAACCCACAGGTGGCGATCGAACCCAAGACTCTGACGATCTGATGTGTGAACGCTTAACCTCTCAATAACACTGAACCAGCATCCAATATTACAATTCTGTACTGACAATATGTTGTTCTTCAGAAGGGAACATTAAAAGCTCCTTCAACTATAAAACATCTAACTCAGAGAATGTATTGGCGACGTTAGATCCCCAGAACTCACTTGATAAAGATCTTAATTTTGGGCTTTATTCATGAACTGACCAGTTAACCGTGAGAACACATTTCCCACCAGGAAAATCCTTGGCTGTGATTGGTTGATGTGTTATTTTAATATTCTATTTTTGTGACTCTCCCAAGAATGTTTCTATGAAATATAAATAAACGAGATATGTATGCTTGAGATCATTATATTTGCTAGGTGTTTGTGGAATACCCTTTCTACGCCATTTCATTCAAGATCAACTTGTGGAATAGACAATACACATTATTATTGAAGAGTTTTAAATTTTAGCTCAATATTTCGGTTTTATTCTTTCAAACAACATCGATTTTCAAACACTGACTATTCCTTCCACACTACAAAACACTCAAAAATTTATTTCTAAAAGATTTTTTTAAAAATGAAAACTGATATATTTAGTAAGTAATTTCGCGGTACTGTCACAAAAATCAATAACGCACATGAATACATCACACATATATGCGCGCCTACATCAATGAATGAGTACATACAACTCAAAAAAAAAATTGTTACAGCCAAACATGACAAATGTTTTACCTTACACAACGAATATTTGTTTTTATCATCAATAAATCGATATTTTTTCAACGGAGTTTAGTAAAAATCAATAATCAAATTACCAACCTTCATTAAAACCATCTATCTATCTATACAATTTCATATAGTGTACACACAAGCACGTAGTACATGAAACTAACTACAGCACAACATATCAATAAGGAAAAAAACCAACAAATTCGGTGTTGTTAGTGTGAACGTACAATAAAATGATGCGATAATCAAAATGACATACAATATTGATCGATGCCTGTTTGCTTTCCTATAAACCAAAGTAAAACACAATATTGTTTGTTCAATGTTCAATGTGTATTTATCATCTACCTGTTTGTTTGTAAAAGAAATGTGTGTGTAGGTGTGTGAGTGTGGGTGAGCGTGAGTGAGCTTGTTTGCTGTAGTGGTTAAGCTGAATTTCGACCTCAAAAAATTTCAATTTTTACAATGTTTGTTCATTCATTTGTTTGTCAGTCGACTTCATAAATTGGCATTCTACACATTGGACACTGAAGATTCTAGAAAAAATTTTTTGAGAAAATTTTTTACAAAATAACGATGTGAAAAGATAAAATCAATATTTTTTAATCAAACCTATGATATATATTGTGTGCGTAAATATGAAAAGCAACTACAGGTTTTATTCATAAGAGAGTGGAGCAATGTTAAGAGAGACGCGGTCTCATAAGAACCAATGACTAACAATAAGATCCTACGTTATATATGTTCTATCAGGATCCTGTAGTTCATGTACACATTAGCCGGTTTGGAATGACGCGTTTCAAACGCCTCTATCAACCAATCCGATTTAAGCATCAACCAGATATATTCTGTTGGGGATGTTACTTACTTACTTACTTACGCCTGTTACCCCCAATGGAGCATAGGACGCCCACCAGTTTTCTCCAACCAACTCTGTCCTCGGCTTCCCTTTCCAGTTCTGTCTAATGTTTGTTCATTCTTCTCATATCTTTCTCTATTTCTTGGCGTAATGTGTTCCTTGGCCTTCCTCTTTTCCTTTTGCCTTCAGGGTTCCGAGTGAGGGCTTGTCTCGTGACGCAGTTAGGTGCTTTTCGTAATGTATGTCCTATCCACTTCCACCGCTTCTTCCTGATTTCCTCCTCAACTGGAATCTGGTTTGTTCTCTTCCAAAGTAATTTGTTTCTGATAGTGTCCGGCCAACGAATACGAAGTACTTTGCTTAGACAGCTGTTAATAAACACTTGTATCTTCTGGATGATGCCTTTCGTGGTTCTCGAAACCACGAGATGGGGATGTTAGATCCCCAGAACTCGCTTGATAAATGCCTTATTCTTGGATTTCACGTTTGTGAGCATGGGCTGATCAGTCGACCTTGAGATTTCAATTCCCACCAGGAAAATTGATGGCTGTGATTGGCTGCTGTGTATTATAGTGTGCTATTTTCGTAACTGTCCCAACGATGTTTCTATGATGTAGAAATAAACGAGAGTTGTGTGCTTGATTGTATTGTGTGATTGCTGGGTGTTTGTAGAATATACTTTCTACGCTACATCAAGACTTTTCTTTGTAGTTTGGGGATCAAGGTAGCTTACCTGGACGCAGGTAATTGTCTCGTTCGCGTTTATCGACTAAGGTGAACTCGTAATAGCTTCAAGCGTACCAAGTGATGAACATAACATATTCACCTACTTTTGTTTCCCCTCAATTTTATGATTTCTAAACATACTGACAGAGTTTTTAAAGTTTAAATAGATGGAGTCAAATGTGCTTACATAATAAACAGTCAAAACATCATACTTCATTGAGAAACTATAAATGAATTTAATATTTTGATTGATAGGCACAATTAACAATCAAAAGAGAGTTGTAAAATATAGAGTTCCACAAAGATCACAGATCACTAAAACCGCAGGTACACGAAGCGAAAATGATATGCGAGTGTCGAAAAGCAAGTGAGTTAGGGAGTGAGTGTGTGAGTACGAGTAAATTGTACATATTTATGAATAGGTCATCGAATTATTTAAGAGGCGAACATTAAAGCGAGTATGTATAGAATGATTCTGTGTGCGGTGCGATAATCAACATAATCAGTGCTTCATATTCGTATTTTGATGTATACACGGTTGGGCATTATTGTCGTAACGTTTATCCGGACGAGTAGTATAGGATGTTTGACAATAAATCGAACAAGGACCGCCACAAAATTTATGTGCCCACATCCATCACAAGTTTAAAGCGTTCCAAATTCATAGTGATCGCCTAACTGTTAAACTACTTTAAGTTAGAATCTGGTGACAGATATTTTTAATTTTCATGAAATGCCTTTAAATTCACTAAATACTATACTACTAGATAGGAAAAACATTGAGGAAATCACCCAACTGCTGCGTCACAAGACAAGCTCTCACTTGGAATCCTCAAGGTCATAAGAAAAGAAGGAAGACCACAGAACATCACACGAAGTAAATCAGAGACAGTCATAAGAGAAGAATGAACAGTGATTGAATAGAGTTTGAAAGGAATACTGTTGTGCTCATCACTTGTTATGCTTGAAACTATTACGAGTTCACCTTAGTCGATAAACGAGAACAAGACAATGAACCAGTGACACAGTAGACTATTCTAACCCGTTGTCCCCGGCCTAGCTAACTTTATCAAAAAGTCTTGATATGGCTAAGAAAGTGTATTCTACAAGCACCCAGCGAATACAATGATCTCAAACGCACAATTCGCGTTTATTTATACATCATAGAAACATCCTTGAGAGAGTCACAAAAATAGCACACTAAAATGACACAGCAATTCATCACAGCCAAGGATTTTCCCGGTGGAAATGAAATCTCAAGGTCAACTGATCAGCCGCCCATGAATAAAATCCAGAATTAAGACACTTATTTAAGCGAGTTCTGGAGATCTAACGTCCCAACAAGTACATAGGATAGAGTAGGTTTTAGAATGCTGGTCAGCTGTCTGTGCTGTCTATGTAGTGAATGAGAACACAGGTAGGGCCACCGGGTTGAATTTAACGAAAATTACAGAGTTACTCATTGAAATCGGAAAACCATATCGTAAATTGTTAAATTGCAAAATATCAGTCCATTATATCGAACTGGACTATTCCTGTTGCAAAACATCAATCCATTGTCATTATTCATGCGTTCGTTTCATACAAATTCCATTGTGTTCTAACTCTTCCTTTCTTGATCTTCCGCCATCTTCTGATGCCGGACATTACGTTGACACTCACGTCATATACTACTTATAAGTAGCTCACACCACACTCGTCCCCCTTTTAATAAGCTGTCGTCGTAGTCTTTCAGAACAGGGACCCTGGTCAGTTAATATCACCTTCCGTATTCCGTGACGCGCTACAATATGCTGGATTACCACTTCGGTCATTGTTCTTGCCCGCTGGTCTGGAATGGGTACGGCATCTATCCAACGTGTAGCGTTTACTAGTTCTCTCTGCTGGGACACGGCGGCAGGCACACTCTCGATGAATTGCGACGCCAACAACTGTGCCCTCGACTACCCGTCCATACTCGGCAGCGTACGGCGCACCAACATCGTGAACTCCACAGCCAGCACCAACGGATCACCATCAGCCGACAGCCTCGCCAACCGGAACCTCTGCGGCGCCTGCTCCCTGTCCACCGGGCTGTCGAACTCCGTCATCAGCCGCCCGGTGACCGTCTTCTCGGCAGCACCGTCCAGGCTGTCGTATACCGCCTTCGCCTCACCTCCCCGCTTCGTCCCCAGCACCGCCAACTCTGCCCCAGGCCCCTTCACACCCACCAGCTCCACCGCGGCCTCAAACTCCTTCGACCACGGGAGCTCCTTCCTTCGAGCAGGCAGCGACACCAAATGTAGTGAATGAGAACAGGCATAAGTATGTAAGCTAGTACTGCTGACCTATAAATCGCAACTTATAAACTAAACAATCCCAATGATTATCGTCATCATCATCATCATGATATCGATACATAGTTTATGCATTGAAAATTGAAAATAAATCGATTATTTCCTTCTTATTTCTCTATTCTTGCCTATTCAAACCCTGCTTCATTTATCTGTTTTTTATGCTTCTTTTCATTTAATGAACAAATTGAAAATTGATTGATGAAAATAAAAGATGGCGGACACTTATCAATGTAAACAATCGAATGGGATTAAATGGTATTGATCATTGAAAAGTGTTTATTTACATTATAATTATTCTTAAGTACATGTGACATTTGTGTGAAGGAGAGTGAAAGATGAATAACTATTGTAAGATATCGTTTAATTGGTAGACACTGTTGTTTATATTTGGGATTAATGGAAATCAATTTATTCAAATGTCATTTTACAGAGTTTCCTGTATGTATATTGTTGTTTATTGATGGCAGTGAGAATAAGACAAATAGTGTGTCTATACGTCACAAAATTTGACCTGAAAATCTTCGGTCTTTGATGCACACTGCTACTGATGAGTTAGGATCAAACGACCGTCCAGTGAGTGGTACTTCCAAGTTTCTAATGTTGGTCTAACAATGAATGATTCATTTTGTTTTCAATTAATAAAAGTTTATTCAAAAATCGTATCAGAATTCCGAACACATACTTTCTGCTGTTTAGTCCTGATATGGAACTCATTGACAGTTGAGATCTACGACCACTTCAAGTGAGAATCAAACCCAGAGCCTTCGTTCTTGCATGCGAACACTTAACTTGTAGACCACTGAGCCGGTATCCATGAGTGATAATGTTTAAGTTCGATTAATCTACGATCTTGCGCAACCTCATTGTGACAAAGGAACTCCAACTCTGTCAGATATGAAGCAATGCCGACCGAAGTTAGTGGATAAGGTTGCAGAAGACCATGGTTGTTCAGTGCTTCCGGGTTTTTATGATAAATTAGAGATAGAATGTGGATTCTCAGTTGATGTTCGATCACAGTCGAAACTGTACAATTGTTGTTTAAAAGGTCAAAAAGAAATTTCCCAGTCTAGTGTTTATATTTAGCAAAGTTGTTCTCTACAAGGTGAAGTAGCTAACCTCATGCTGAACCTTACAGGCTTCATCCGGGCTTAGAACTGACAGTAACCTTTGTAAGGCTTCATGGGGGAGAATTCAAGAGCGTCATATCTGAAGACGAACAGTTAATCAGTCGATTGAAGTTTATTCGAACAGAATTACGAATTCAGTTTACAGTATAGTAGGATCGATTTATCAAATGTCCTCTAGTTTACATGATAAGAGTATAATATACTGACAGTCTTGAATGAACCAATCATAAATTAAGATACTGGCTCATGTAAATTAGGCGCGCAATTTAAAGCACTCTGATAGATAACCTGTGTGTTACTACCAACGAAGTAGAAATTGGCAGCTTATTGGCCTTAAAATGCTTGAAATCAATTGAAATTTCTGTTGCGAATCCGAAAGTGGATTAAAGATGGTACTCTTGCTAAATTACCGAAACATCACTGCTTCTGTGTTAAAGTACTTCAACCGACGATGATGCAGTGGTGTAGTGAAGTGTCTTTAGTGAAGATAGATAATATTGGCCCTTTCTAACTATTACTATAAATTTCAACAATAAATCTCTTAAGTTGGTTAGCACTGAAATGACGGAAAGATTGCCTTATAGCTGAGGTCATTTCGTAATGGAAACCGAGACTAGAGGTTCAACATTGTGGATGGTACTCTAATTGCATTACAGGGTTGTGAAGATTGCTAAGTTACTCATTGAAATCTGAAACCTGGAAGCACTGAGAGACGGCCGTTTCATCCTGTTATAGGACTACTCATCAGTGCGCATCCATGACTTCTACTACTCGCAGGATTCGAACCCAGGAACTTCAGTCTTACTCGTGAACCCCTGACCTCTGAACCACTGAGCTAGTATCTAACGATGTTAATGTCTAACAACTTCTATCAATTCACAGTCTTGCGCAACCTCATACACTGTCTTCGGTAGTTACTCTCTACACCCAAGGGTCCTGGGTTCGAATCGTTGATGTGCACTGCTGGACAGTACCATACCAGACCATTGATCAAGTCTACCATATAATATCACTTATAAAATAATAAATTAATTTTTTTACACACAGAAAAAAGAAAAGAAAGTTTTTATCGCTTACTTTTTCAATCCAAACGCATAAACAATGTCGATGAAACATATGGAAACATGGTAAACCCATGATACGATCATCAATATGATAATTTTCCATGCATATTGAACAATTCTGTAATTTCTTTATACTAATATCATCTTTCAATACACTGGTTGGCAACTGATTCAACAAATACATACGTAGCATATCTAATAAAAAGTTTTAGTAAAAAAATGAGAATAGAGAAAATTCAAAAAAAATTGTTAGACAGGCGTTAAGAGCAAGAAACCCTGAAAGTATTGGATGAGACTGTTTTGTCTTACTAGTATAGAACTTCATATTCATCAGTGGATGTTTGTTTGCATCGATGAACAGTTGATGGTTCAGAGGTTAGACGTTCCTGTGCGCAAGACCGAAGGTCCTGATTTCGAATCCTGTGAGGTGCAGGAGTTGTGGATGTTAGGATATTCATCTAATATCCTAAGAGAATTATTGGTCAAATCCTATTGGTTCATTCCTACTGGTAAATTATATAGCCGTCCTAGATATCAATGTCACTTACTCCAATGTTGTTTCTTATTGGTTATCCTGACTATCAATGTAATTTCAAATGTTACTTACTACTGGTCGTCCTAAACTGTCAATGTCACAGAATTCGATGCTGTTTACTTCTCAACCTAAATGTATAAATACACATTATCTGTAACATTTTATGACCACGACCAGGACCAGGGCTCGGTCCAGGATCCCGGATCCGGGATTCGGACCTCTTACTTTCTGGATGCTTGTAGAATACAGGTTCTACTTCATATCACGTCTTTTTATTTTTACTAAATATGCGGGTTGGGATAATCGGATTTGAGTAGTATGTCGTGTCGCCGGATCCTCGATCCTCGCTCTCGTGTTTTCGGACTAGGTAAACTCGTAATAATTCAAGTATATCAAGATGACGTTTTTACGTGCAGGCGTAACAGTGGATAAGCACAGCTACTGATGAGTAGTCCTATGACAGGACGAAACGGCCATCCAGCGAATGCTTCCAGGTTTCTAATGATAGTCTAACAATGACTGATTCATGATTACAGTTATAAGTGATTAGATCATTTGGGTTTGTTAACATTCTGACTGATTGATACCGATCGATATTGACCCGATTTATCAACCAATCAAAAAAATCAAGAAACAGATCAAATGGGGAAATACCAATAAAATAAAGGTGCAGACAACGACGTGTTTAAGGTCAACAATAACAACCAATCAGGATCAAGGTCAACAGAACAAGCTACGAGTTATAGACGTGGAGAAATTAGATTACTTCACTTCTTCTATCTGAAGTCTATGCTAATGATGTTGTGTTGCTCTCTGAACTAAAACATCCAGCTTAGACAATGGAACTCCACTATCACAGTCATCTACCTGAGATGCTACAAAAAATTCCTCTACCATCTCAGTTTCGTTAAGTGATTCCCCAATTCAGTATAATGATATGTTGTTTCCTACATAATGAATTTACATTCTAACAGGACAATGGACAAAGACGAACACTATATTAGTTAAACATTGGAGAGATCAGTGTCTTAGGTCATCGAACGTTAGTTAGTCAAATAACTAAGTAATTATATTTCTGACAATAATAACGGGCAACTTGGGTATGAATCTCACAGAACGTTTTATTTTACACTTTGTATAATGTGTTTCGATAATTTTCTAACAATTCTGTCTTCTTCTGTCTGGTGATTAGTTAGTAAAGCTCTTTCATGTGAAAAACAAAACTAGAAGTGATAGTTTAGAATGACTAACTCTATTACTCAACTGTCAACTAGTAAGTTATTGATTTAAATCCCAGTTCATTTCATTTCATTTCACTCTGATGAACAACTGAATTGAGAGGTTTATAGTTGTCTATATTCAAATTATGCTCGGTAAATCCGTTGGTCAGACATTATCAACAACAACTTAGTGTAGAATAGAACAAACCAAATTCCAGAACACGAAGAAATCAGGAAGAAGCGTTGAAAAGCACACGATTATATCACAAAACAAGCCCACACTTGGAATCTTCAAGGGAAAAAAGAGAATAGGATCACCAAAGAACACATTAATGCTGAGAAATAGAGACTGACATAAAAAGGATGAACTGTAATCGGATAGAGTCAGTCAGTCAGGGTATGAGGGTGGTTGCCACTTCCCGGCTGCCCACACCGTGGAAGGCTGTTTCTTGAGGAACCTGAAAAAGAAGGTAGATTAGTATTGTTCTCAACGACCTGGGTGCGTGACCGCAGAGTCCAACGGACAATTGCTTGAGGTCGGTCACGCACGGCATTTTTATGAAAGGTTTTCTGAATAATAGCTCCGCTCTTAAAAGCCCTTAGTAGGCAACCTTACCGACGGAGACGGAAATCCGTGAGGTAGGGTGAGGTGTGATATTTTTAGGGTCGACCTTTTCTAACTCGTTCCTTCCTTGTGAGAAGGCAGTATCGCTGCAGATGCTGGTTGTCCGAGGGAAACACCTTACTGCTGTCACAATCCTCTGCAGTCAGCAGTACGACTTCGCCCTCAGACCTTGAGTAGCTGCTTTAAGTCTGATCATTCTCCAATCGACCTGCCTGGCATGGTAGAACCTTCAGGAACATATGTTCCACCCAATATAGCTTGGTTGGGTGATCACGATAGTCAAGCCCGACCACCACGTCAAGGTAGCAGCTACGGTCGGGTATCGGATAGAACTAGAAAGGAAAGCCTTGGACTGGTCTGCGGCCTATGCTCTATTAGGGGTAGAAGGCGTAAGAAAGTAAGTAATATCATAAACTGATTGATAGTTTTGAAATATCCGAACTAGGCACTTGATTAACTAACTCTGTGACAACACATATTGATATCATAATTCTAGATTTAACAAACACACTACTGATGAGTCACACGTTAAGACGAAACCACTGTATAATATTCCCTCTAAACTCATTTTCTTGCATACATAATGAATTTGTTAAACTTTATGAATTGTATTCGTCAAGTTAATAACAACCAAGTTCCATCAGACTAACTGAATCGATATTGTGCGAACAAAGTCTTGATAAGAAACTTGAACTTCAGAGTAAAGAATGATTTTTTTACAGTGGGAAATCATTTGTCAATGAAATTCTCTTCAAATGTTTGAAAATTACAGAGTTGTTTGTTTAAAGTGTGACAACTAACTTGGATTAGTTTATATTAAGGAGAAAAGAGTTTTTGGAGTGCATACTTATCCCATTTATTGATCGATCATGTATTAAAAGCAACTGAACAGAGAGAGAGAGTTTACATGTTTGTCTACTTATTATATTCAAAAAGTAAACGTTTTATCCATTCATGTGTCTTTAATACCTACATTTCAAACACTGATATCTTGAGACAAGTTATTTCTTAATATGTTAATCAAATAAGTGGGAAACTCTCAGGGTTACTTCAAATCTAAGTGTTGATTCAGTCAAGTTAGTGGAGATTGTTGAGTTTCATGGAAATTGTGAACCAGTCAGTGTTAGACCACTGCACGAATATCTCATTCTATTAAGCGCTCACTATCGATTAACTCAGTGTGGAAGTTTCTCCAAGTTCTTTTGGAAAGTCGTTATGACCAATGGAGTTCAGTTCTGTTGGATGTGAGGCAGTTACTCACCAAAGACAATGGGTGAAATCGTTAAATACTGTGAATGGACTGAAATGAGACATCAACACTGTTTGATGTCAGTTCAATAGTCTATTGGTTAAGCGCATACGTTCAAGACCGAAGGTATTGTGTTCAACTCCTATGTGCGGCGGTCGTGAATAAGCACTGCCACTGATGAGTCTCATACTAAGACAATACGGTCATCCAATGCTTCCAAGTATTATTAGATAGCTTAAAAAAGACTGATACATGACTCCAACAACTGATGATTATTTCAGGGAAATGTTTCAAAAGATTTCTCCTTTTTGTTATATCAAAAGTTGGAATCGGACATGAAGTATATGTTTACTTAAAATATTACAGATATATCCTGGTAGCATACATTCATTGCCATAGAACTTAAGTTCGGTAAGGCTTCTTGATGACTGATGAGTATATGATATGCTCATCAATTGATTTCTGCTTGAAACTATTACGAGTTCACCTTATTCGGTAAACAGAAAGAAGATCAACGATTCTGTGACACGACAGGCTTTTCTATTGCGATTGTCCACGGCCCTGCTAATTAGAGCAAGAAGTCTTGTTAAAGAGTAGAGAATATATTCTACAAGCCACCAGAAAGGTAAAGGTTGCTAAGCACACAAATCCAGCTTATTTAGACGTCCTCGGGGGAGCCACCAGATAGCGTACTAAAATAATCCGTCAATCAATGAGAGTCAAGGATTTTTCGAGTGGGAAATGGAAGCTTAAGGTCAACTAAGCGTCTCTGGCGCGAAAACATAAGAAATTCAAAATTTCGGGATAAAATTACAAAATTAGGACCTTTTCCAAGTGAGTTCTAGGTATCTAACATCCCCAATTAGTAGGAAATATTGCTCATCTCAAGTTGAGAATGTATAAAATCAGAAATACAGTTAAATTTTGGGTATAAAAGTTAAACTCTTCATTAATCTAAACAAAACTCGTGGTTTATGTCGTCTATTTTATATTGAACAAAGTATAAATAATGAATTGGCGCTTTTTTTAAAAAAAAATTTATAGCGTGTCCAATTTAGAACTACCCCTATTGATAAAACCAAAATATGTAGATATTTTTTTCGAGAAAAATATTTCATCATCTATGTGAATGTATAGAAATTATCGATCTACATTTTACCAGGGTTATCAAATTAAAACAAATATAAAAAATGGATGGCGTTCAAAATTGAACTTTGAATCTTACGCATATGTGACCTTCAGAAATTAAAACAAATAATTTAACACTCGTTTCTTTCTTTTTAGTAGTTTAAAGTAAATTTTCGAGAATAAATGAAACATGAATACACAAAAATACAAAATTAAAGATTTAAGACACAAATTCAGATATGGTTGAGTTTAAAATCACAACCTTTCAATTGATATAATAACCTACTTAATGGGTCAGTGGGATTTTCCAAAGTAATTGGAGATTCAGTGGAAGCATCTATCAAAGTTGGTGGGCTATTGATCACATTGATATCGATTTCTGCATCAGTTTGAGTTACTACTGATTGTTGTGTGAGTAAATCTACTTGTACACTGACTTCCGGTGCTGTATTCATAGTTTGCATGCCCTGAATGTGGTATGTAAAAAGAACAGTAGAAAGAAATCGATAAACAGATGATATATGTAGGTGTGCTGTTTCCAATGCATAGATTATCTTAATTAAGAACAGATCATGTGATTTGAAGAAGAGGTTAGGCAGTAATTAGCAATGGAATCATGAATTTTGTGGTCCATTTCATGTAGGAATCTTTGAGGTATTTGAGTATGACTATGATGGTGGAGCTGGATGCATTGGTTGTGGAGCTACCGCTGTTCTCCTGGACAACATCATCAGCACAAACTTTAGGTAGAAGCAGTGAAGCATTCGAAGTTTATGCTGATGATGTTGTGTTCAGAAGAGAACCATGAAAGTTCACAAAACCAAAACATTCAGCTCAGGTGACAGAACTCGTTAGTTAACTGTACCAACATCTTAGTGTTCTTTTTATGTTTACACTGAGATTCAAATCTAGTAATTTTCGCTCCAGACTTTATGACAAGGTAACACATGACGTTGTCCAGTTTTTCAAGGTGAAATTAACCATTTACTAGTTAGCGAATCAACCTAAAACTCTGATCAGTAAAAGATTTTAATTTGAACTACCACTGAAAAATTTACAAGCATTAAGATAACTGCTATGTCTTAGTTTGTAAATCTTTACCACACAAACACATTGGATCAAACTTAGCCCCTTCATTCTCGCGCATGAACTGCTAAATTCTAAGACATCGAAGGGGGATCCAATCATGTACAATCGTAATTCCAGTCATTTCAAAATACTATGTGATCACTGAATAACTGTCTCATACATAGAACAGTTGAACTTCACAGAATCGGGCTTCACATTAGAACTTCAGGAATTAGTACGAGACCTAACTGGTGCATTGTTCCTTGTACTATTCGTACACATGTATGACTCAGTGTTTTACAAAGAGAAATTTAGTCATAAATGAAAGTTCAACGCGTTTCATTTAACAAAGGTAAATGTTGTCAGCTTTTATAACTACTAATCAGAGAGAGTTCTTCTAGAAACTCTCAGCTCCCACTAAATGTAAGCATACTTCATCAAATCAGTGTCAAACATTTTCGAGGTAGAGATTTTCATTAAAATTAGGCATCGATCATTGTTTATACAGTTAGATGCCAGCTTAGTCGTCTGGGGGTTAGCTGATGACCGTTATAATAGAACAGGAGACATTGCCATGATTTATTAAAACAGTGAATCAATAAACCTAGTCACGCTCAAATGATTCTGAGATGGTGGAGAAAATGTTTTGTAGCTCAGGTGGATGATTGTGGTGGTGTTTCTCTTTCTCTGAGCTGGATATTTTGGTTGTGAAACTTTCATTGTTCTTCTTCTGAACAACAACGTCATCAGCATAAACTTCAGATAGAAGAAGTGAAGTATTCGAATTTCTCTACGTTTGAACTGTAGCTTCTTCTGCTAACCTCGATCTTGATTGGAACAATGTGGAAATATTGGATAGGTGGAGGACAAAGAACACCATAGAGTTTTTAGAAGTTTGTCACTCAGGTCAATCAATCAGCAATCAACAAACACATAGACACTGATCCAATTTATCAACCAATCAGGAAAATCATAGGTGACATAGGATCAGGAAACAGATCAAAAACGGGATACAATCAAAACAAAGATTCAAAGAATGACAGGTTTAAGTTCAGCAGCAACCAATCAAGATCGAGGTTAGCAGAACAAGCTAGAAGTCATGAACGTGGAGAAAGTCGAACACTTCACTTCATCTATCTGAAGTTTGTGCTGAGGATGTTGCTCAGAAGAACAATGATGCAAGCTTCAGGTGTTTGTGACTATTGATAATGGGCACGGATAGGCAAATCAACGGTTGCATCCCTACAACTGAAAAATATCTGTAACTCCAAACAAATATCAATCAACACCAAAAATCAGAATTTTAAATACAAATGTCAAAACAGTTCTACTGTACGAAGCTGAAACTTGGAGAACTTCAAAAGCCATCATCCAGGAGATACAAGTATTCATCAACAGTTGTGTACGCAAAATACTTCGGATTCGTTGACCAGACACCATCAACATAAACCTATTGTTGGAGAGAACAAACCAGATTCCAGCCGAGGAGGAAATCAGGAAGAAGCGTTGGAAGTGGATAGGACACACAACGTGAATAGCACCGAACTGCGTCACAAGACAAGCCCTCACATAGAGCCCTCAAGGTCAAAGGAAAAGAAGAAGGCCAAGGAACACATTGCTCCGAGAAATAGAGAAAGACACGAGAGAAGCATGAGAAAAAATTGGACAGAACTGGAAAGGGAAACTCAGGACAGAATTGGTTGGAGAAAACCGGTTGGCGGCTTATACTCCACTGGGGGATAACAGGCATCAGTAAGTAAAGTAAGTATAACTGTTTGTAATCAATTTTATTGTGGTATTTATGTAAACTGCATTTTTGCATTTTTCTTTCAGTAAAACTTCAATTTTTTACTAGATTTTGTTTTCCTGCCTCATCGGTTTTTGTTTATATTGTGAAGATGACAAGAACAACAGACTGCCAAATCACTTACTTGTTCAGTCGGCTTATCAATGACACATATTTATTTACATTAGGGCACATGATGCCTCTCTCATGCACTATGATTATCAGTATTTCAAAATATTGTTATTATTATTATTATATATGTAGGGATCACAAGGTGTGTTGACAATTGAAAATATGACAAGAATTCATTGGTTTTTTCTATCTTAAGATCTATTAACTGATTGTTTAAACTACCTAGTGAGAATGTTCTCCAGGTTATTGCACTATTTCAAGCATTATTACACTATACTTATACTTGTGGTACAAGCTACTTATAAGTAGTATATGGCGTGAATGTCAACGTAATGTCTGGCAGCAGAAGATGGGGGATGATTAAGAGAAAGGAAGAGTTAGAACACAATGGAATTTGTATGAAACGCATGAATAGTAGTGACAATGGATTGATGTTTTGCAACAGGAACAGTCCAGTTCGATATGATGAACTGATATTTTGCAAATGAACGATTTATGATATGGTTTTCCAATTTTACTGAGTAACTCTGTAATTTCCGTTAAATGCAATTCGGTTGCCCCACCTGTGTTCTCGTTCTCTACGAACTATCCTACACTACATACTATACTGTATACTTATCCTGTTAACTGACGGATTTATTATGAAGACATCAACATCATCTGATGGGGCAGTATGATGAGATACAATGGGCAACTAGGATGTAGCTGAATGATCTGGCTGTTCCATCGAATAGGCGACAATAAATTCAAGAGAAGATGGTCAGTATAACAGCAGCCACTGCAGCAGTAGGTCTCGACATACATAAAAATGGAAAGGTGAGATTCTCTGATACAACAAAACATGCACTAATCAAAGCACATTTGACGGAGAAGCTTTGAAAAATGACAAAAAACCCTTTACATATCTGGGCAGCATCATGAATGAGCAAGACGGATCTGACATAGATGTAAAGCTAAGCATCGGCAAAGCAAGGGCAGCATTTCTACAATTGAAGAAAATCTGTGACTCAAAACAACTCTTTGTCAACCAACATCAAAGTCACAATTTTCAATACCAGTGTCAAGACAGTTCTACTGTATGGGACGGAAACTTCACGAACCACGAAAGCTAACATCCACAAGATACAAGTGTTCATTAACAGTTGCCTACGCAAAATACTTCAGATCCGTTGGCCAGACACCATCAGCAACAACTTACTTTGGGAAGGAACAAACCAGATTCTAGAGGAGGAGGAAATCAGGAAGAAGTGGTGGAAGTGTATAAGACACACACTGCGAAAAGCACCTAACTGTGTCACGAGACAAGCCTTCACATGGAAGCCTCAAGGTCAAAGGAAAAGAGGAAGACCGAACAACACGTTACTTCGAAAAATGGAGACAGACATAAAAAGAATGAACAACAGAACTGGACAGAACTCGAAAGGAAGGCCCGTGACAGAGTAGGTTGGAGAATTCTAGTTGGCGCCCTATGCTCCATTGAGGGTAACAAGCGTAAGTAAGTAAGTACGTGTTAGCGAATCAAATAGAAGTAAATTGTAGACATCCAAAAGGATGAATTATCGACAGACAGACCGAAGGTCCTGGCTTCGAATCCTGTGGGGTGCAGGAGTCGTGGATGAGCACTACCAATAATGAGTCCCATACCAGGACGAAACGGCCGTCTTTCAGTGCTTCCAGGTTTCTAATGGTGGTCTAACATTGATCGATTTATGGTTTCATAATGTGTAATAACTAAATATTCGATTGATTTATTCAAGAAATAATCAAGAAAATTTTTATTAAAACTTTACAGAATGTATCTTCAAAGTAAAAATCTGTATCATAATATCGTATTATTGATAAAAATGTAAACTATTCTAGCGAGAAGCTGCGAACATTGAAGTCCAACCCTGTTGAGGGAAGGCAGTTGCGTGCCGAAGACAATGGATGAGGTTGCGAAACACTTTGGATTGATTAAAGTTAAACGTCAACACCGCTGGATGCCAGTTTAGTGGTCTGAAGGTTAATAGTTCGCGTATGAGACCGAACATTCTGGGTATGCACTGCTGATCAGTCCCGTACTATAGGACCAAAAAGCCACCCAGCTATTCCAGGTTTCCTATGGAGGTCAAACATTGTTTAGTTCATGATTCCAACGTAATTTAACTCTATAATACAAAACTTCTCTTATACATTACAAAATTTCAACTTGATCATTTTTAATTTTTGTAATCTGTTTTAACACATTATTAAGAGTTGAGATTAGAAGTGAAAGATGTCTGTGTACATGTGTGTTTGTGTGTCAGTTTCGTTGTTTAAATCTACTCATACAAAAATTTGGCGCGTATTTCAATTTCAATCCATGTTATCTATCAATGTCATTATAATATCAACAAATTTCTGTTATTCATAGTTTAAACAAGTAGAAGAAAAGATCTAGGGACTATTTTTTTAAAAACTCAAAATCAATGTATTAAGTATTTTCACATGTTGAGAGATTTGTTTAAAAATTCTATGTTCTATATCAACAACTCATCATGTCAGTAATATATTTTATACTGAGGAAACTTGTGAAGATTACAGAATCCTTGTAATTTAAATCATGAACTAATCTTACTTAGACCAGTGTCGATAATCTCGACTAGTATGAGACTCTACAGAAGTGAGCATCTATGATCGTTTGTCCAGGAATCGAACTTAGCACCTTTAGTTTCTTATATGAAAGTTGAAACTTTAGACCAGTAAGTGGTTGACTGTAGTTTGATGCGAACACTAATGGTTAAGGTTGGCATTGTGATCAAGGGGTTAAGTGTTCATACACGAAACTAAAGTTCCTAAATTCGATATCTGATGACGGAGTTATAAATGATCACTTTTGAGGAATCCAGTACCAGGCTTTCAAGGATGATCTACCTAAGGTTATCTCATGATTTAACCCTACGAAAATGTTTTATTGATAAGCTTTAATAAATATCAATTACATTCTAACTAGTTTTGACTAATTTTAAAGATTGTTATTTGGCGGTTAACTCAAAAATTTCAGATTGATCATTGTTGGAATTTTGAAAGAAAATTTCCTAACTTCAAATGGGCGGATTTTATTTCAACATATCAACACTGATACAAACGGAGGCTAAATATTTATTTACCACACAAAGAAAAAGAATGTGTTTTTAGACTGAACCCGTGCATGTAGTTCTTTTACAAGAAAGCTACCCTAACCCTTAACCTAAAGGTCTAATCCACACGATAGTGGAGTAACGTTAAAAAATGCAGTATTTCGGTCACCGGTGACCAACAGTAAGTTCATACGGTGTTTGTTACCCAATTGGCAAACTCTTCTTACCCATTAACCCGGTTTAAGCTCCGACATGACATTCACTTTTCATCCTCTCAATTTAGTAGACAACTTTCCCAGCATGAGAATGCTGTGAGTTAGACTTCCTTGATAGTGGCTATACAAACGTAGCCAGATGAGAGCATTTTCAGTGAACTCTCTACACTCACGAGCGTACCAAAGTACTGACTTTTGGAAAAATCCCAACAACGTGGTCAATGTAACTATCGTAAACCTCATGAGAGATTGCTCGGAATCGATTACCCATCTTAAGTTTTCGAAATACGTAAATTAATCCTTTTGAAATCAAATCCTGTAACCCTAATCTTTTTTTTACACTAACTTCGATACTACTACTACTACTACTACTACTACTACTATCACCTTGTTATTCATCTCCTTCATGTTAATTAATTGAAAGAACACTGAAAGTTATGTGTAAATTTTTACATCGAAATCGTGATTTAATCATAGTTAAGCCACCATTAGAAATCTGGAATAACTGAGAGACGGCCGTTTCATCCTGGTATGGGACTCATCAATGGCAGTGCGCATGTACAAATCCCGCTGCACGCGGGAATCGAACCCAGGACTTCCGGTTTTGCATGCGAACACTCAACCTCTAGGCCCGTTAATATCTAACTCCAATCAATCTAATTATTGACATGATCATGATTATTCGCGAATATCTTCGAACAGGTGGTTAGTGAATGAATCATAATATTGGTATAGAAGTCTAGTTCTACTATTCAAAGTGCCAGATAACCAGCAGCTCATTACTAATAATAGAAGTTATTATTTACTTCAAGTCAAAACTGTTGGGGACATTAGATTGCCAGAACTCTCTCGATCAATGTCTTAATTTTGGATTTTATTCATGGTCTGGTCAGTTGACCTTGAGATTACATTTCTCACCAGGAAAATCCTTGGCTGTGATTGGTCAATGCGTTATTTTAGTGTGCTATTTTCGTGGCTCTCACAAGGATGTCTCTATGATGTATAAATAAACGCGATTTGCGTGCTTGAGATCATTTTATTTTCTGGATGCTTGTAAAAGACACTTTCTACACTATATCAAGACTTCTTAATATAGTTAGCCAGGTTGGTGACAACGAATTAGAATAGCCTACCGTGTCACTCACTGGTTGATTGTCTCGTTCTCGTTTATCGACTAAGATGAACTCGTAATAGCATTCAAGCATATCAAGTGACGAGCATGACAAAGACATTAAAAGATCAATTTTGTTTTCAATCATTACAGTTCAGACATAAAATTTTAAATTAAGAATTCGTCCCAGAATAAGACTCATCAGTAGTGCACATCCACAACCCCAAGTACGAAGTTCGAACCCAGGATATTTGGTCTCGGATAAAATATAATTCATTTCTATCAATACAACTAAATTCAGTCGTATGAAAACATGTTAGTTCTAGTTAGAATCCTTGACTAATGGAGTCCAATCCGCGTCAAATGTAAGGTAGTTACATATCGAATACAATCTTAGACGGTCATATGATAACATGAATTGTCTGATGTTAGATATTATTCACACCAGTGAATGTCAACTTAGTGGTTTCAAGAACTTAACATCTTGAGTTCGATTCTTGTATTGGATCACAGTGTACGCACACTTCCATCATAGGAAGAAACAGCTAGTCAGTAGTTTCAGGTTTCTTCTAATGGAGGTCGAACATTGATTGATTCATGGTTTCAACAAAAATTCAACAGTTTACATAACCTTGTACTAACAAAATGTATTCCGTTTGTCACTCACTAAATCATGTTTACCTTTCAAATAATCTTGAACTTAAAGAAATTATTCGTCTCTACTGTGAATACTTGTAATCTTGACGAGAATGTTAAGGCACTTTGTGCAAGATTTGCACTAAACATTATTTCGATAGGCAAAAAATACTAATCTCCATAACTCTAATTGAAAATATCGTAAAATGTGCTCACTAATGATTAACTTCGTGAGGAAATTCTCGGATTTCTAATGAAAAGATGTGACCATTGGAGTTCAACCCTGTCGGGTGTAGGCAGTAACTACCAAAAAACAAATGAGTGAGGTCGTGCTAAATCTCTAGATTGATTAGAGTTAGACATTAACACCGTTGGATGACAGCCTAGTAGACCAAAGTTTGGGTGTTCACATGCAAGACCGAAGAACCTGGGTTCGAATCCTGCGAGGTACAGGAGTCGTGGATGCGCACTGCCAATGATGAGTCCCATGTGCCAGGACGAAACGGCCGTCTTTCAGTGCTTCCAAGTTTCTAATGGTGGTCTAACAAGGATTGATTGATGATTTCAATGTGCAAGAAACATTAATCTCCACAACTCTAATTTGAAAAATATGCACGAATACCGAAAATGAGGCTGATCAGTCACAATGAATGAAACTTCATCCTATTGCACAAATCAATACTTGTCTAGACTCTCTAGCTAATTGGATGATAAATACCATGATAAGTGACGTAAATGTTACTTATTTCAAGTCCCATTGTGAACACCAACTCTGAGGTGGGAGAACATTCATCTGAAAGCGAGTTCTAAATAAAAACGAAACGTACACGCTAGATTCCACCATTCATCTCTACTAATGTTACTTATAACCTTATGGTAATATCGATTACAATCAAGGTGGATCCGATGCAGATGTGAGGGCACGGATTGGCAGAGACAAGGGCTGCATTTTTACAATTAAAAAATATCTAGAACTCCAAACAAGTATCAATCAACATCAAAATCAGGATTTTCAATACAAATGTCAAGATAGTGTTCTACTGTATGGGGGCGGAAAATTGGAGAACTTCAAAAACCATCATCCAGGAGATACAAGTGTTTATTAACAGCTGTCTACGCAAAATACTTCGGATCCATTGGCCAGATACCATCAGCAACAACTTACTGTGGGAGAGAACAAACCAGATTCCAGTGGAGGAGAAAATCAGGAAGAAGCGTTGGAAGTGGATAGGACACACATTGCGGAAAGCACCTAACTGCGTCACGAGACAAGCCCTCACATGGAACCCTCAAGGCAAAAGGAAAAGAGGAAGGCCAAAGATCACACTACGCCGAGAAATAGAGAAAGATATGAGAAGAATGAACAAACATTGGACAGAACTGGAGAGGGAAGCCCAGGACAGAGTTGGTTGGAGAAAACTGGTGGGCGGCCTATGCTCCATATTGGGTAACAGGCGTAAATAAGTAAGTAAGTAATATCGATTGAAATCTTAGACAAAAATAGGTGGTCTAACATTCATGATTTTCAAAAACTGTAACTCAACAATCTTGACAACCTCATAATATAAAATTACATACGCTCACTAATGACTAACTCCATAAGGAAGTCTCTCTAAGTTCAAGTGAGAAAACATGATAACCAGTGGAGTTCAACCATGTTCAGGTATGAAGCAGTGTTCACTGAACACAGTGGATAAAGTTACGCATGACCGTCATGAATTGATCGAAATCAGAGGTTAAAACCTTTAGATATAGGCTCATTAGTGATCTAGAGGTTAAGCGTTCGTGCGCAAGACCGAAAGTCTTGTATTCAATTCCTGCGCACTACTACTGATAAGTCAGTCCCATATATTTCAGGACTAAACGGCCGCTCAGTAAGTGCTTCCAAGTTTCTAATAATGGCCATGATTTCATTTAAAAATACAAATCAATACAATCACTTCAAATGCAGTAAACTAACCGTTGATTGTGTCATTACTGTAGGAGGTATCAATATTGATCGGTTGGAATAAGATTGATTATCAATTTGTATTGGAGAATTTTGTACAGTTGGATAATTTTGTGAAAATTCATTGTAAAGTTTAATCTATGAATAATGTAGAATAGAATAGAATGGAATTCCGCCAAACTTACCGATAACCGACGATGTTGCATAGTCGTCGAATTACTATTACTATTTGGCATGAAATGAATGCATGTATTGTTTAAATATACACAAAGAAACTATTGATCGCTTTCAAATTTTTCAATGTTCAATGAAGAACGATCAAACACACACACACACACAGTCAATTAAAAATAAAAAGGGAAACACTATAAATCTTAACCAAACATACATACACACACACCGACTAGTTTTTACAATGTTACATGTTGTACATGTTGTTGTGTACAACATCAAACAAACTAGACAAACATGATTTAAACAAACTAACACAGCAACACCAACAATCGATTTGTATTTGTTTGTTGTACTCTACTACTCTACTACTTATGAAAATACACCTTTTGTCACAACATGTATTCTTCTTATAATGCATTGTGTAAATTAACTGACACACACACAATGAATATTGAATGCGTAACGCATTGTTTGAAACGCGCGCGCGCGCACACACATACACATATACACGATTAAAAGAATTGACAAATTCGACAAATTTTTAATTTTTTTATGAAATTGGTTAAAAAAAACCAAGCCTATACGAAAATCAGTTAGAATATTAGTAGTAATCGGTAAAAGTTTATTATTTAGGTATTTTAAACATTCAAAGAAATGACAATACACTGACTAATGTGCACTACATGAAAGCAATACACTTTCAATCAATCAATCAATCAAGCAGTCAAGCAAGCAAGTAAGCAAGCAGGTATTACACAGATGGTAATGAGATTTGTAAATCAATCAATATAATGTGTTAAATTTAAAAACACATAGTATGCATATTGATTTGAGAATGAGGTGGTATTACAAATGGTTTAATGTGATTTGAAATTTATCGTTACACTTTTCTTATACTAAATGAAGTCAGTGATTGAATCATTGTCGAACCAGCATTAGAAACCTGAAAGCACTGAGAGGCTATATCGTTCTAGTAAGACACTCATCAGTAGTGCGCATCCACGACCCTCCGCTACTCGCAGGATTCGAACCTAGGGTTTTTGTGATAGGGTTTCGTTCTCCGAAGTGGATGTTTCGGTTGTGGAACCTTCATTGTTCCATTCTGGACACAACATTATCTGCATAAACTCCAAATAGTAGTGAACTGTTCACATTTCTTCACGTTTGATCCTTAGCTTCTGCTGTTGACCTCAGTCTTGGTTGGTTGTTATTGATCTCAAACCTGTCGTTGTCTGTGTTAGGACATTCACCCAATATCCTAAGAGAATTATTGGTCAATTCTTACTGGTTGATTCCTACTGGTCGTCCTAGATATCAATGTCACGTGCTCCAATGTTGTTTCTGATTGGTTGTCCTGACTATCAATGTCACTACAAATGTTGCTTCCTAATGGTCGTCTTAACTGTCAATGTCACAGAATTCGATGCAGTTTCATATTCGACCAAAAAGTATAAATACGTATTATTTGTAACGTTTTATGACCAGGACCACGACCCGGTCCCGAATCCCTAGTACGGGATCCTGATTCTCTTCTGGATTCGGACCTCGTACTTTCTGGATGCTTGTAGAAAACACGTTCTACTTCTTATCATGTCTTCTTATTTTTACTCAATATGGGTGTTGGGATAATCAGATTTGAGTAGCATGTCGTGTCACCGGATCCTCGATCGTCGCTCTCGTATTCCGACTAAGGTATACTCGTAATAGTTCAAGCATATCAAGTTGACGTGTTTACGTGCAGGTGTAACAGTCTGCACCTTTGTTTTGATTGTATCCTCCCATTTGATCTGTTTCTTGATCCTATGTTCGTCTGTTACTTTGTTGATCGGTTGATAAACTGAGTCAATGTCAATGTGTTTCTTGATTGCTGATTGAACTGAATGCCAAGCTTCTAAAAACTATGTGATGTTCTTTGTATTCTCTCTGTCCAGTCTTTCCACTTTGTTCCAATCGAATTTATGTTCACAATTATCTATAAGGGCAGATAAATCATGGCGTTTGATTGCCAATCGATATTCACGTAAGCGAAGCTAAACGGATCGTCCACTTTATCCAATGTAGTGTTTTTCGGAGTTTGAACAGTTTATTTGTCCTTTCGGTTACATAGGACTGATTACGGTTATTTTGTTAGTTGGCGCAATACACATGTTCCAGACAGCTTCAATAATCTTGTTGCGATTTCTAATATGTCTTTTATATACGGTAGAATGATCCGTTTATTGGTTCATGTATGGGGATCCTCAGCAATGCGCATTCTCGAAACCGGAGGTAACAATTGAATCCAAGACCTACACGCTCATTTTTGAACGCTTAACCTGTTAATAACACTGAACCAGTATCCACCATACTGTTCACTTCAAACGCTGTCGTGTTATCTAATTAGATTGCTGAGTTACGACATCCATTGTCTTATGCAATGGGATGAACTAAGTAAGTAAGTAAGTAAGTAAGTAAGTAAGTAAGTAAGTAAGTAAGTAAGTAAGTAAGTAAGTAAATAAGTAAGTAAGTAAGTATGTAAGTAAGTAAGTAAGTAAGTAAGTAAGTAATTAAGTGAGTAAGCAAGTAAGTCAAATCACAAACCCAAAGAACAGTACAAAGCATGCAAGCATACCTTTCACAAATAGAAACAAATTACTCTGAATATCATCAGTAAACTTATATTTTATTTTTGAAATGAATAAACAGTTTGTGTGTGCGCATACTACTAGTCTTTTATTGACAATTATATCAATAATGATTATTGATTTTTAAGATTATGAAATTCTGGGGGGGGGGTCAAACAAATGATTGTTTCTCGTTTCGTTTTTTTGATTAAAGATTCATATCTTCATTTTGGTGTGTGTGGGTTTTTCTAAGGGAAAAATCAATAGTGATGTCGTTTCCGCAGGACGATGTTAATGAATTTTCATGGTTTAAATAATTATTATGAATCAGGTAGATGGTAACGGAGTTTCATTCTGTTATGCTCGTCACTTGATATGTTTGAATTCTATTACGAGTTCACCTTAGTCGATCAACGAGAATGAGACAATGAACCAGTGCGTGACACGGTAGGCTACTATGATAAGTTGCCCCAACTTGATATGGCGTAGAAAGTGTATTCTACAAACACCCAGAAAATACAATGATCTCAAGCAACTAAGTCGCGTTTATTTATCTAACATAAAAACGTTCTTGGGAGAGTCACAAAAATAGAGTACTGAAATAACAAGTCAACCAATCACGGCCAAAGATTTTCCCGAGTGGGAAATGTGTTCTCAATGTTAACTGATCAGTTCATGAATAAAATACAAAATGAAGATCTTTATCAAGTGAGTTCTGGGGATCTAATGTCCCTAACACATTCTCTGAGTTGAATGCTTTATAGTTGAAGAAGCTCTTACTGTTCTCTTCTGAATAACAACATACTGTCAGTACAAACTTGTAATATTGGATGCTGGTTCAGTGTTATTGAGAGATTAAGCGCTCACCCATCAAAGCGTCAGAGTCTTGGGTTCGATTGCCACCTGTGGTTTTGAGGACGCACAATGCTGAGGATCTTCATACTAGAATGAAGTGACCTTTCTGTGTTTCAAATTTGTCAATAGTAGTCTAACATTGATCGATTCGTGATTTCAATGTTATTTAATTTTTTTAACCTGATAAATTAATTAACTATTCAACTCACCTCTGGTATTTTATGGTTACTGCTTGTGTGGGTCGTATTATTCTGAAATAATTCGTGTCAAGCACTTTCTGTTATCTTTTGAAAACTGTGCACTATTATGGATTAGCGTTGCAACGTTTATGAGATGGATTTTAAATACCAAGTGAAAGAAAATATCTCGAAAATATTCTACGACAGTTCTAGTCAGGGAGGTTAGGATTAGAAGATATTATTCAAGAAGTAGAATCTAATGAAATAGACTTATTAAGATAAAGTGACGAAGAATTAAAAAGTTTAGGATTTGAGAGAACACAAAGAATGAATGTATCTGCGCCGTTGAAAACGATTTTGAGCCATGTCATTCAAAGTCTCTAACCATCGATCACTAACATCTCGTTGACCCCAACCAGGTAGTCGACAACTACCGACATGACTCACTCCTCTTGTCAATGACTTCATGGATTTCTGCCACGTTTTGGTTTGGACGTCCCTAACTTTCTTCCAACCTACTCCTACACCACTAAACAGCTTGTCGAGGCAGTCGGTGGTTAGGCATACGTAACACATGCCCCAAGTACCTCAATTGATGAAGTTTCAATACTTCATATATTAACCTGCCATCCTTACCTAGCACCAGTTTCCTAATAACAGCATTGCTTACTCGGCTGTCCTACAATACTTGAGCAATGCTTTGAAGACACCTATGATTGAAAACCAGTAATCTATGAATATCTTCTACTCTCACTGGTCATGTTTCATAGCCATATGGTAGGACAGAGCGAACTACTGAACAGTACACTCGTCCTTTGGTCAGCAAAAGGATATCTCGCCTTCGCCATAAGTGACGCAGGTTGGCAAAAGCCAATCGAGACTTCTGTATCCGTTCTGAGATTTCGTCAGTCACCAGGCCATCAGCACTGACGAGACTCCCCAGATAAATGAAGCGATCCACACATTCGACTACTTCACTCCCTATCACTAGTTCAGGTGCCGATGTATCCCAGTCTTGGAGCAACATTTTACATTTCGAGAGGGGAAAAACCGCATCTCGAACATCCCGAACATCCAGTGATCAATAACAGTCGAGGACTTTCCGAGTGGGAAATGTAATCTGAAGGTCAACTGATCAGCACACGCGCAAAAACTTAAAAAAATCCAAAATTAGGCTTTTTCTCAAGTGATTTCTGGCGATCTAACTCGTCCCCAATAGAACCGAAAGGTGTCTTACAAGTTCATGAAATGTGCACCAGTAATTTGCATGTGTGTGTGATGATTAATATTTAAACAACAAACAGTTAGAATATGTGAATTCATGCTTCACTCAAATGAAATTAACGAAATTCGAGACAGTTGAATTATATAAGTCAAAAGGATGAACTTGTTTGGTAATCGAAATACTGATCAACTAATTTCGGAAATTCACCGTTGTTGTGACGAATCGAAGATCTCTTAATATCAGAGGACTTAAACCTAATGGAAATAGAACATATTGTTCTAACTAGTTCTGTGAAGAAATGTGCGTTTGTTAATTTACTTAGAAATATGCATAACTAATAAATTCAAGATTCCAGTACGTTTTAATGTCTAGAAATTAATTTTAACAAGATAATGTTGGAATTCATTCTTCAAGAGTTTGTATCATAAATTCAAAATGTCAGAATGTGATGAAGGACGATTTTGCGTTCACAAATATTCTAGGCGAAAGAAACGCAGGAAGTAATCACGTGACTATAAGCACCAATGCTATCTTGTTTTTACAGTACAAAATTACATTTTAACTATAATATTTTCAACTAGAGCTATGGAGATTAGT